CTTGTTAAGCAGTGCAGTTGCAATCCTACTGCGTGAAGCAACACAAGCCTGTCCCAAGGCACCAGGGAGGTTCTGCCAACACCTCCCCTGCCTTCAGTAGTCAGGTCCTCAGACCAAAGCTTTTCAAGATATTTATTTTCATGCTGCTTTTGCAACCATGGCTCAAGACTCAGTCAGTTTCCTGATGGTCTGCACTCCTCTGACTGAAGAATAGAGTCAATGTATCACAGCAGACATAAGCAGGATGAAGATGGATTTTTTTTTCCTGAGCTAACATGACTGACTTGGGGATCAATCACAGACACTTTTCTCTCTGTGCAATGTAAGTATTTACTTTCAGGATGGTTGCAGAGGGGTTTTAGCCTGCATCCTGCTCTCTGTAAATTGTCAGTGATACAGTTTGCTTCTCTACTTAGTCCTGAAGATGACTCCTATCCAGAGGATTTTCCCAATCATCCCAAGATCTATTTTTAGCTCAGCAATAAGGCAGGAATTTATGTTGCCTGAGAGAAACGTGCCTGTTTTGGCTCAGAAACACAGGCTTAACTTTGTCTTTGCAATGGTTACCCTTCAACCGTGTGACCCTGAACAGCCAGCAAGGATCTATAGACCTTGGGTGTTTTAAAGTTATTATGACTTGAGAATTTCTTGTTGTAAAACAAAAGTATCAGTCCCTACTCCTTTGATTCAGGATTGTTTATCTTCTCTGCAAAGATGTCCTACAGGCCCATAACCCTCAAGTTTGGATGGGATTCCTAACAGATCCCATAACCTGATCTGCTGAACTGAACAAGTTTTGAAGGTCCCATATGACACTGTTATGCACAGAGCACTGAGTCAGTAAAGGCTATGCTCATCAAACTCTCAGAATATTGGGGCTGCAATCAGCTTTAGGTAGGATTTGTAACAAGGACATCTCAAAGTATCCTAAGTTGGCTCAGAATATCTTTACTTTTTCACTTACTGCCATATGTACAGTACTCTGCTTCATGTCCAGGACACCTGGAAAGCAGTACTTGCGGGAGACCCAAGGAGCAGCTACAGGCAGCAGTCCACACAGAGGACTCTGCTCTTTCCCTTCACGCATTGTAATCACTTGCCAAGCAAATAAAAAAATTATAATGAAAACGCTTTACAAATATACATGATATTCAGATCAAAAACTTCCAACTCTGAATTAGGAGAGAGTCATACCTGTGAAGAAATGACTACTGTTAAGTAGTCATTTACCTCAAAAGGATTTCAAATATAAAACATTTACATTTTTTAAAAAATAATAAAATCAAATTTACAGGAAGACCAGTCACAGACTACATTTCTTACACCATAAAGGTATTACATGAAAAATAAGGACAGTACACATGGAGCACATGGGGAACCTTCTCTCCTTCACTTCAGATTGTAGATACCCCTGTCACAGAGGACAGGGTTGTCAGCTCTCCCTTGCCATGTCATATCCCGTGCATTTGAACATGCTTCAGGGAACCAGCTACTGGAAAGATGAGGACATGTCTAAGATGTGGAAACACATCTTTGTCACACAGGCTGACTAACTCAGCTATATAACTGTGATTAAAAGCTGTGAAGACAGGCAAATTGAATTCCAATTGCTGGGTTTCAAACTCAGATCCCTCTGCAGTATCTAACTTAATATTGTTACTTAAAGTTGAACTCCAAGTTATCTTTACGTGCTCTTTCACCAAAGTTGTCTTTTTGTGCAAATACCTTTCACAATGTATACACAGTCTAGCACGCTGTAAATCAATACTCTGTAAATTGAATAATTCACTCTTAAAGGTGAGGTCATCCTCATAGGCACCCAAACCCCAAAGAAGTGCTTTTCTACACACAAGCAAGAAATACGTAAAGCCTTATCTTCTTCAACACGAGGAACAGATCTCCAGTTCCACTGAGTCAGGCAGCCCAGAGCAACCTGCCAGCCCCCACTATTAAATTATGCTGTATTTCCCTTCTCCAGCTTCTCATGTGGTTTGGATTTGGACCCCTATATGGCTCTATCCCTTAATTTCACCCCAATAAAAGCTGAAATGCTACCACAAGAGAATTTTCCATCAGTCTTTATATGAACCAGGCTGAAGAAAGGGACAGAAATCAGTGTCACCTGCTGGTTCCAGGAGGAAAGCATGCAGAATTTCAAATGTTCTTAAAATTATCTTTATATATTTCTCATGTCCACATCATGTGGGGTTTAGGGCTTGTTTCTAGTAGTGTTTATCTCTCTACATGCTTTTTCTGGAGAATTGTTTTAAAGCTGTTCCTCCTGAACCACAAATTGTCAGTTTCTGCAAACAATGTGGAGGGTAGGAATAGATGGTAAAACAAAGCAAACAAGTGAGGGAAAAAAAATTAAAAATAGGGCAAGAAATCAACAGTTAGTGCACAAGGATAGTGTCAGTGTCATTAGTCTGTCTTTGAAACTCACACATGTCAGCTTATTGATTTTATTAAGTTACAGAAAAATGCCCAAAAATGGTTTTACAAAACAGATAGCAAGCATTGGTGTCATTTACCCCATCAGACATGAATATTTCTTTACAGCACCTAAAAATTATTTGAAGTTAATATTATGAGAGAATCAGATTCATTAAAAAAAACCCAAACCCATACATCTATGCAAGTAAAACAGTTTGAAATGGAGCTTGGGTGAATAATTGGGGGGGGGTGTATGTGTGAGTTTTGACTACTGCAAAAGTCAACTTACAGGGAGGAAGTTGGGGTTGGGACAGGGAAGATGGGGCATTGGAAGAAGCCTAAGACTGTGTCTGGAATATTACATCATTTCGAGATGGCTGAGTGTTCGTCCTTGCTGTTGTTTGAGCTGATACTTCAGAGTCCAGAAAAAAGGTCATATAATCTCCTTCTGCCCCAGTGCCTCCAATACAAAATGCAGTTAGTTGTTAATCTGTCTCACAGGGGTATTTTGGAGTTCTCAGATGCTTCTGTGACATTCGTGACAGGTGCCTTGGAGGCCCAGAATATCTCAGACATTGTGGATATATAACAGATGTTGTGGATATATGGATTACACAAGGACTGTTTTATTGGGACTAAAAGTGCTACACGAACCTTTCTGTTCTAGGTACAATATGCAAGTTGTGTATGTGAAAGAGACTCACAGAGGAATAATTAGCATAGATCATTAATAGAGACAATAGGTTTTTGAAGTGACATTCCCTGGGGAAAAGTGATATATAATGATTTGCCCTGTTTGAGAGGCCTGACAGAGGCTGCAAGCTAAGTGGAAAAACAGCATGCTTGCCAAAAGATGTCACATGCCCAGCATCTAAGAGCTGATGCATCGTACCTGTTGGGACCCATCGGGACCCTACGTATGGAGAGCTGAGTGTGCAAGTGTAAAGTATTCTTTATTGATCCTGTTGTTCTAATAGTTCTTTGTTCAGTGAAAGACAAGATGCTTAGCAGTTAACTCAGAGCACGTTAATGGTTCCAGGTTTTATGGTAAAAATTTTGTTGATGTAGGGGAATGGGAAAGGGAAAATTGGAGTTCTGGAACCTCTAAGCAACAATACCCTGGCCTCAAGCAAATACAGTTTACCATACAGAAGAGTCCTTTTACAGACATGATTTATGTCATCTGAGAAAGCAGTTTAATTATCCCAACAGAACACCTCCAAGCTGCTGGTTAACATCAATAAATTACAAAGTGGATGTAATCTAAAACCCTGGTATGAAGGGAAAAAAATGCAAAAGGCAAATGTGGAGAGCAAGAGGTCTCAGAGCTCGGCACTGGAGAGGGTCAAGCAGTGACCGCCACTATGGAAAGTCTGTGAAGGTCACAGAGCTGGTACGTCACAGAGCTGGTACTGCTCCTCTTTTCTTCGAGTACATCAAGTGTCTGTGATGATGGGACTTGGCAATATTTTTGTTCATGTATAAACAACAGCACTGTTTGTGATTAACTTGCATATTTCACACTACTGTGCTAACTCTGCTGTCTACCGAGCCATATGCTCTTCCAGAGGGTGTCTGATTAAAGTACAAACTGTCTAACTGTGGGAAAAGGGACACACATAGCACGCCATTACAGGCTAAGGTAGTTTCTGGCCTGAACCCCTTTATGATTTTGTTTGTTATGTAAAATGAACAGTAACAAGACTTGTTCATCTGAATTTTCCTTTAATGCCACAGGCGTGGTTACTCCTGGGCAAGGAGAAGAAAATTATGCAGGAAGCGCTTCATTCGCCTGCTCTAAAGGTTCATCCAAAACTTTTAGAAGAGGGAGGGAGGAGAGGGAGGAGGAGAAAGACATGCACAAAGAACAGGCTGTAAAGGCAGCCTTTGGAGATATGCTAGAAAGTCACCAGGATGCATTTGAAACAATCTTTCCAATAGCACCATTGTTTGCTACACTTGTTTTTAAGTTTAGAAATATTGTGACTGCTTCAGTGTTTTGAAACCCACTGGCGGAGTCTCTGGGGCTCCCGGGTTTTAATATATGCCAGCAGTTCACAAGTACAAAAAGTTGGATTCCCTCCTTTTTTCAACAAAAGATACGTACAAGTCTCCCTCAAAACACTTGCCAACTCTGAATCAGTTCCTCAGAGAGACACTTCAGCGTTGCTCGCAGCCAGTTGCTCACAGCAGAATCCCGCAGGGACAGGGGTGCTCCGGCCGTCGCACCCCACATCCCTGAGCTGGCAGACCGCCGCACACGGAGCAGGGGCACGGCTGTGAAGGCGCCGGATGCCCAACTGTGCTGTGCTGAGGGACACTTCGCATTGAAATTTAATTTTTTTCTTTTAAATTTTTCACCCCACAGCTTCGGAAGTATGTGGCAAATATAAGTCGAGCCTCCGAAGACTAAAGCTCTAAAGACGAGTCATTCATCCCCTCAACCTCCCTCCAAAAAGCCCCCCCCCCAAAAAAAAACATTTCAGGAGGGAACCGGCTCTCCCCTCGGGCTGTGTTCTCCTCCCCGCGCGCTGTCCCGGGGATGCCGAACCACGCTCCGTCCTTACCCTGTCCCGCTTCAGCAGTTCCAAGATGTAGGAGAACCGGCTGCTGTCCGCTGCCACCTCCATGGCCCCGCAGCCGTGCCGCGGGATCACGCCGCCCCTCCGGTCCCCTCGTCCCTGCAGCGCAGCCCTTGCCCCCGCTGCTCTCCGGGGGAGGGCCGTCGTGCTCCGCCCGCCCACCAGCTCACGGGTCTGAGGATGCCCGTGAAAACCTCTCACCCTGCAGCAGCGCGGGACGACTGTCAGGTACCTGGAGGTGCTCAGGCACACCGCCTCTGCTCAGACGCTGCGACCGTAAAAGCTGCGTTAAGGCTGGAAGGGTTACACCTACTTATGGTCTCACCAGATCCGAGTGGTACTGTACAAATCATTCTCATCTTGCACGGAGCTGATGGTGGTGCATGCCCACAAGGCCAACACCCAAGGTGGGCATGCCTCTTTTCAAAGAATGGCTTGATGTGGGATACATGATGCATTTGCCCCCAGGCTCCATTTGGTTTTCTTAAATTCCAAGTATTTGTTTAGATGAAAAATTGTGTCTAAATACATCTGCAGAGAAGAGCATCTACTAATATAATGTATGTAGGTGTGTGTATGATCTGCCTCATGTGTTTGCGCCTGGCTAGTGGTGCGTTTGTGGGGTAACTCAAACAGGAGTAAAAGTTCCTATCATCTCTTTTTCTGCATCCCAGAAAAATTTCTCATCTCCCACTAGAGATGAGGTGGATACAAGATGCCTATATACAACTGTGACAGAAAAACTGGTCCCAGCAACTCAAGTAACTTCTACTCCTTGATTAAGGCAACCCTAAGGTCCCACTAAAATGTTCACACCAGAGGGGAGAACCAGCTACCAAGAAAGGCAGGCACAACCACCCAGACTCAGTGGGCAAAGGGGCCCCAGAGGAAAGCTGGGGAATGGTGATTGAGACATGGCAGACATCGCATTCCTGATCCCTGCCTGTCTCCACTCCATGATGCTGCTATACCTTCCTTCTGGTTGAGGCACTGCAGGTCACTTCAGCCAGCAGCTGGCTCATTTCTTCCTCTTCTAATCTCAAACCTCCCTGAACCCAAAGGTGCAGCTGCATCCAAGACCTGGGGGAGAGGGACAGGTGAATGGCCAGTACACTGCTCTCTCATCAACTCTATTCCAAACTGAGAGGTGGAAGGCAACAAGCCCTTCTTATGCTGTAGCTATCAGGTAGCCCATGGAGCATATCACCTCTTTGTGGTGAAAACATACCAAAGAGTATTTTATAACAGTATAATGTATCCCCTCAGAGGCTGTATTTCCTAAGCATACTGATATAGTAGTAATGTTATCCCAGATTCTTCCTTCAGGTTACTCACTGAAACAGAATATTCTGCCTTTCTCAGGAAACAAGACTCATGAATAGCTCCAGACATTTCTGTTACTAGATACTGTACAATTATATGTATCAAATGACTCATTAATCAAATAGCTTGTTATTATGATATAGACAGGCTTTCAGTGCTCCACTTCTTGCTTTTGTGCAAACACCCTGGGAATAAACAATGGGCAGTGGTGCTGGGGACAGTCAGCTGCCATCACCCACATAGCTGAGAAGTCCTCAATACATAACTCAGCTCAATGTGAGATATTTTGCTTCTCTGATCTAATTTCAGCTCACCAAATGGCAGTCATGTAGGAAATTTTCAGTACTGTAATTTCTTTGGGTCAGTGTTGGGCTCTGGCAGAGAGCAGGGCTGGCCAAGGCTGGGACAAGGGACTGCCTGTAGGGATGCCTTGTTTCTCCCAAGCTACTCAAGTCCAGTAGTCATCTGCAGGAAACCATGCTGGTTGTGGCCTCAGCAGCAGTGGCACTCCCACATCCAGGAAGGTTGTGTCACAGTATCAGTGTGAATCTCCGGATGATAACCAGCACCAAGCAGCAAACATACCTTTGACCCTACTGCTCCGTAACGACAGGCTTCGTGAAAAGCCAAGGAATTTACAACCCTTTCTGTTCCACAGTGCAAGAACACAACATGTAGCTGTTTACTGGAATCCTTTCATCTGGAGGCACACCTGGATTTGAATCTTGTTGCAGATTTGTTATGTTCGTGTTAAGTGACTCCCAAGAACAACCTGACAAAACCTGTGAGACAAAGGTCTTCTGTGGTGCACAAACCATGGGCCTGCTCCAAATCAGTACTTTTGTCTTGCCTTCTTTGGCCATTAACCACACTGTTTCATTTTGAACTATGTGCTCTGAATTTCTGGCTCTTGTCTCATCTTCTCATTTTTAATTTTTTTTTTTTTTTGGGGGGGTTGTTCTGTTTCTGCTAGGTGTTGTAGATTATGGACAGCCTGGGCTGTAATTCAAGGACTTGGGACAGAAGGGATGATTTCTAGTTCCTCTCCCTTCACCTCTTCATGTCCCACTTCCATAAATTCATTAATGTAAATGTAAAGAGATGTAAATGTAGCTCAAGTCATGAACTCGACCAGGGCAAGAAGGATATAGTAGAAGATGGAAGAAGCTGATGGTTCTTTCATGATCTCCTCTTGAAGTGTTTTTGTTTCAACATTAGTGCTGTTACTGGTCAGATTATGTGACCAATACATCTGTTCTAGAACAAGCAGCAGTCACAAGTATTGAGGTCATGTTACTGAGAACGCAGCTGCGATGGGCAGGGCACGTCTCCAGGATGAAGGACCACCGCCTCCCTAAGATCCTGCTCTGTGGTGAACTTGCCACCGGTTGCCGCATGAGAGTAGCCCCGAAGAAAAGATACAAGGACTCCTTGAAACAACATCTCAGCCTTGGCCATATTGATCACCATAACTGGTCTATTCTGGTCTCAAATCGGGAGGCCTGGAGACACGCCATCTATAACGCAGCTGTCTCCTTTGAGAACACACGTAGGATCACTCTCGAGGAAAAAAGGCAGCGCAGAAAGAACCGTGTATTGCAGAATACTCCATCTAAGGAGTCTTTCTGCTGTGCCTTTTGCAATCGGATATGTCTGTCACGTATTGGCCTCATAAACCACCAGCGTGCCTGTAGCAAATGTGGATAGAGCCTTCCCAAATCTTCGTTCGCGAAGCCTAGCCATGAGTGCTGTTAGGACTCCAAGTTCAGGTGGCTGCCAGTGATATTTAAGCAGGACGACGCCACAAACCACTTTTGCATTAATTTCACAGCTTCAGCAATGGTATCCTCCTAAGCAGTTCCGGTTAGGATGATCCTGGCCTCTGCATGATAGCACTCTCTTGCCATCAAGCCTTTGACACTGTCTCCCACAGTATACTCCTGAAAAAGCTGGCAGCCCACGGCTTGGACAGGAGCACTCTGTGCTGGGTTAGGAACTGGCTGGAGGGCCGGGCCCAGAGAGTGATGGTGAATGGTGCTGCATCCAGTTGGCACCAGTCACTAGTGGTGTCCTCCACGGATCAGCACTGGGCCCAGTCCTGTTTAATATCTTTATTGATGATCTAGATGAGGGGATTGAGTGTACCATTAGCAAATTTGCAGATGACACCAAGCTGGGGGAGAGTGCTGATCTGCTGGAAGGCAGGAGGGCTCTTCTGAGGGACCTGGACAAGCTGGAGAGCTGGTCTGATTCCAACAGTATGAGGTCCACAAGGCCAAGTTCCAGGTCCCGCACTTTGGCCACAACAACCCCCTGCAGCGCTACAGGCTGGGTACAGAGTGGCTGGAGAACAGCCAGGGAGAGAGGGACCTGGGAGTTTGGATTGACAGGAAGCTGAACATGAGCCAGCAGTGTGCCCAGGTGGCCAAGAGGGCCAATGGCATCCTGGCCTGGATCAGGAACAGTGTGGCCAGCAGGTTCAGGGAAGTGATTCTTCCCCTGTACTCAGGCTGGTGAGTACACAGCTGGAGTGCTGTGTCCAGTTCTGGGCCCCTCAGTTCAGGAAGGATATTGAGGTGCTGGAGCAGGTCCAGAGAAGAGCAATGAGGCTGGTGAAGGGACTCAAGCACAAGTCTTATGAGGAGAGGCTAAGGGAGCTGGGGTTGTTCAGCCTGGAGAAGAGGCTGAGGGGAGACCTCATCACTCTCTACAACTATCAGAAAGGAGGCTGTAGCCAGGTGGGGATTGGTCTCTTCTCCCAGGCAACCAGAAGCAGAACAAGAGGGCATGGTCTTAAGCTCTGACAGGGGAGGTTTAGGTTGGATATTAGGAGGAAATTTTTTACAGAGAGAGTAATCAGACATTGGAATGAGCTGCCCAGGGAGGTGGTGGATTCTCCGTCCCTGGAGTTTTTTAAGATGAGATTGGATGTGGCACTAGTGCCATGGTCTAGCAACCACAGCAGTGCTGGATCAAGGGTTGAACTTGATGGTCTAGGAGGTCTTTTCCAACCCAGTTGATTCTAAGATTCTATGATCAGCCCCGCAAAAAAGTGTATGTCTGCAGAGTCGTGCAAGCCTGAGCAGAACCCTTTGGACCATTCAGTATAATTAACACAAGTTGCGTCCATAGATCCAGACTAGCTAGGAATTTGGGACTATCCTCTGCAGCAGATATCAATTCCTGTAGCCATTCTACTGGCTCACGTTTACCTTCCCTTGGATGGAAGACACTTGTGCTAGCTTTTGTCTTGAGTGACTGAAGGCTGACAGGGGAATGTGCTCTCGGAAGGCTGGAGGTGGATGGAGAATCTTCACGTTGCAGCTGGTGGCCCAAGGACTTTCACCCTTCTTGGTAATGATTGCTGTGTTTTACACAACCTTTACTGAGATGGGCCGTATGTCAGAAGTAGCTGGGAGCTCCTCACCTGTTCCACAGAATTGCAGATATGCAATTTGTTTTCACATTTTTCTTCCTTTTGTTTTATCTCTTAGCTCAGTTCCTTTCTGTGGAACCAGGATGTCTGAAAATTAATTTGAACTTTCTGTTGTCATGAAATTATCAATATCAGACTGTCATATTATGTTAAAATGAAGCAGTAGGATTTTATTTGTTTTCTATCACTTCAACTTGAAGCAGATCTCCAAAAAACCAAGGATCCCAGTCAGATTATCAACTGATGTAAAGTAAGTTGTATAATTTTATATCAGTAGAAAAACTGGTTCTGTATTGCAATCCTGAAATACCATGCAACACATTGTTCTGTCCT